TTCTGTAACTTTGAGAGACCTCTTTTACTCAGGTTAGTAGTTAACCATCTTGGACAACTTAACAGTTCTTTATATCAAATTTTCTGTTCAAATTATTGCTATGATTTTTATCTCCTGATTGGAGCGAATGATACTATGGGGAAATATTCACAACCACAAATTACAAACTGCCTTGAAACAAACTGGAAAGATGCAGAACCTACATTAAAAGAAAAAAACTACAGAATTTTACTGAGGTATAAAAGAGTTAAACAAATTACATATTTCAGCAAAACATATTGTAAAAATGTCAATTCTTTCCAATATTAACCTATATATTAACAAAAATTTCAATAAAAGTGTGAATGGCATATGTTTTGGAATTTGATAAAATTATTTTGCAATTAATGAAGAAAAATATGCTAGTCAAGAATATCAAAACATATTATAAAACTAATGGAACGTAGAAACCAATGGAATATACCTGGAAATTAAGAAACAGACTCATCTACAAAACTATTTATTTATTTAGAATTCATTTTTTAAGTTTTATTTTTGATTGACATAGTATTTGTACATATTATGGGGTACAATGTGATGTGTGATACATGCATACGTTGTGTAATGATCGAATCAGGGTAACTAGCATATCCATCACCTTGAACATTTATCGTTTGTGTTGTGAACATTCAAAAAATTCTCTCTTCCAGCTATTTTGAAATATACATTATTGTTAACTACAGTCACCCTACTTTGCAAAAGAACACCATATAATAGAATTTAGATAAGAAATGAAAGAGCAGCCAAGAAAGGATGGAATGACAGTTGTGAAACTGCTTAATCTGGCTCCAGTTGGGGAACAAATTCATTTTATACTTCTTTCATCAAAATAAATTCCAGATGGGGTAATATTTAAATTAAAAAAATTGAAAGCCAGGTAGCTCTCAAAGCCGTTCTTAGCCTGACTCCAATGGAAGAAACCATACAAGAATGAGAGCTTTAATATTTAAAACTTCTGTATTGGAGCCTGGCTTGGTGGCTTGTGCCTGTAATCCTAGCACTTTGGGAGGCCCAAGCAGGACTGCTTTGAAGTCAGGAGTTTGAGACCAGCCTGCGTAACATGGAGAGACTCACCCATTTCTATAAAACTAAAAAAAATCAGCCAGGTGTGGTGGTGTACACTTGCAGTCCCAGCTACTCAAAATGCTGAGGCAGGGGGATCCCTTAAGCCCAGGAGTTTGAGGATGCTGTGAGCTACAATGACACCACTGCACTTTTAGCCCAGGCAACAGAGCGAGCTCCTGCCTCAACAAAAAACAAAAAACATTTCTGTATTGGAATAAAAACCAATATCTAAACACATGATTGGTATCGAAAGACAAACTAAACATGAGAAAATATTTGTAACATATTTTAAAGGGTAAATCAAGTTATTCAACAAATACTTATTGACTTATTCTTGAAAAGGGAAATAGAAGAGAGGGGGAAAAAACCAAATATAGTACTTACTGAATATCAGGCTGTGCAAATATATCCTTGATATATAAAATCTAATACATTAAGCATATACCAATAGAAAAACCAGGAAATAACAATAGGTAATTCACAAAAGGACAAATAGAAATAGCCAATAATAATTGAAAAATAGAAAGCACATTGAGATTCCCTAGAAATCAAAGAAATGAAATCTGTAACTATGATTATAGAACTTCCGCCATTATGCTGCTGCATGGAACAAGTGAGAAATGCACTTAGCTCAGTGCCTGACATGTAAACACTCTACAAATGGTAACTATCATGATTTCGACGTTTGATATCCATTACCACGAAGCATATGGGGAAGGTACATCAAGCTGTTTCCCAGCTAAACTGGGCTGACTTCAACAACTGCTGGATGCTGTAAATGTGCAAAATTTGGGGAATAAAGGAAGGCAAACATTTGATTCTCAAATGGAAGTGAAAAGTGTTAGATTCTTTCTCGAGGACAGTTCGGAAATACATACACAAAATTCATTCGGCAATTCTATTTCTAGTTTTTCTCAAAGAAATGTTCAAGCAAATGCACAAAGATGTATGTAGAAGCACATCTACAAGTACAGAAAAATGGAAACAATCTAAATGTCCAAGGGTAGGGGAGTTTAAATAAAATATGGGTACTTTCATTCTATGGAATAATATGCAACTCAGAAACTGATGAATTTTATTTATACATAGTATGGAAAGATATCCCTGATATACTACCGAGGCAACAGAACATTATTTATAGAGTGATTCTGGATTCATATTCTAAATATATTCATAGACATAGAACTGTAAAAGCAGACTAAAATATTTATTGTGCTTATTTCTAGATGGTCGTATGAGGAATTTTTATTTTTTTTTAAGACGGAGTCTCACTCTGTTGCCCGGGTAGAGTGCAGTGGCGTTATCATAGCTCACTGCAAGCTCAGACTCCTGGGCTCAAGTGATCCTCCTGCTTCAGCCTTCAGAGTAGCGGGGACTACAGGCATGCGCACCACGCTGAGCTAAAGGAATGTGTTTTACCTTCATTCATTCAAATATTTACTGAGCACCTACCATGTGCCAGATACAATTCTAGGTGCTGGGGGTAGGGCAGTAAAAGGTGCCTGCCCTCAGGGAACTAATTATCGTCGAGTAGTAGGAGAAAAATATTAATATTGCACAAATATAAAATATCAGATCGTGATAAACGTTAGGAAGAAAAATAAGGCAGAGGGTTAGGGAAGGCCTCTTTGAGGGGCCGACGTTTGAGCAGACAGTAAAGGAGCTAGCCTTGTGGAGAGCAAGAAAAAGATACCTTCATAATTTGCCCATCTCTCTTAATTTTCTTTTCCAAGCATTTAATACGCGCATAATCAAAGCAAAACAAGCTAGCTCTTTCCATTTCAGAAAACGATCTGGAGCCTGAGAACTCGTTCGGGTCAAGGCGTGGAGAAGGTGGGAGTGGGTCTTACTGTGTATAGAAGGGAGATTCCTGGACATGGCTTGCTCTGGATCCCTCCGGGCCCCAGGACCCCGTCGCTCCTCAGCTCCGCGCAGACGAAGCTGCAGGTAGAAGACCGCGGGACTCCGCCCAGCTCAGCGACCGGCCAGCCACGACCTGCTGAGCGACACAGGGAGGGAGTGTTGCCGCGGCTGTCTCTGCGCCCCTCACTGGACCTCATTTCGCAAGAAGCTCCACGGAGAAGCGGGGCCCACGAGGCTGGAAACTAGTCTCCCTGGCCTGAGCTCCAGCTCCCGCCCCGTGGCCTCTCGGCCCTAGATCCACTGGCTGGAGCGGAAAGAGACCGGGGCGGAAGAAGAGTCTACGCGGCTCATCCCTTCCGGCGGAGCGAGCGCCCCACTCGTGGCTGGGCCAGGCGCCGTCTCCGCTCGTCAGGCCAGCCTTGGCTTCCCTCTTTTTCCGCTTAGGAGCCCGAGGCACAGAAAAATGTGAAAGAAAAGCAAAGACGGAGGAATTCACAGAGAATCAAGTCTCTGAGCCCCGCGATTCATCAGGCAGTATGAGTATGGCGTATTTGGCATAGCTGCCTTCTGATTGGCCAGCGTGAGAAGTCTTCACGTTCATTGGCCATCCTCAATTGACGAATAGCTTTGTGGGGAGTGTAGTTCCAAATGCTTGCCGGGACGCATGCGCATTGTAGTACCCCGGCAAGCTGCGCGCGGACTTCCGGCACCAGAACCTGGCGGCGGAACTGGGAACGCCTGGGCGGCCGTGGGAGGGGGTGGGGACTGGCTAAGCGGGCCGCCGAGCTCCGGAAATCTAGCACGGGGCTCAGGTGGCCGGGGCCGGCGCCCTGAGGTGGAGGCCGGAGGGGGCGCGCATCTCTGGGAAGTACCGGGTCGCCCCTGCGCCCCTTTGCCGGCTAGATCCCTGGGCAGACACCCATCCGTGACGCCAGTCCCTCAGCTCCGCGCTGACGAGGCTGCTGGGGACAGCGCGGGGCTCCCGCCGGGTCAGCGTTCCCGCCTGCCGCGTCCTGTCGAGCGACCCTGGTGAGTTCTTGTCCTCTCCAAGGAAACTCTTTCTCGGTCACTGGAGGATGGCAATGGCGTGCATATCTTCCAGGGGTCTTAGCAGCAGAATAAATAAAGTGCTTAGTGTGTAATAGAGAACTGGAAGCCTGCATGCATCACTCGGGTATTCGTTCGTTCGGAAACTGCAGCGCATCCGTACCGGGAAGCTCATGGTGTCGCTAATGAACCACTGCTAGGTGGAAAAAGCAAATGACAAAATAATAAAGTCTCATTTACGTAAAAACATATCAAGCACATTTTTTTCTTTGTTTCTATGGATAACATTTTTAGTAAAAACATGGCCTTTGGGGCCACTTATGGTCTTCTGGATCCTTGAGTGCGACCTTTTGACTGAATCCAACTTTTACAAAATAAATCCTTTTAAGGGATTTGTTCTGTGAAGTTTGGATTCGGTAGAGGGGCTGCACTTGGGGATCTGGAGGGCTACGTGTGGCCTTGGCAGGTTCTCCATCCCTGTCTGGGACTTCATATGTCAGAACGTTAATTAGGGGGTGTAACTGCGTTGAGGAACGGAGAGTTTCTCTTTTATATATTTCTATATTGTTTAGATGTCCGCTCTCTTTTTTGTTATGATGGTTTGTATTACTTTTATTGTTGAAACAAAAAAACCCCAAAATTCCAAAGTACACTTCTCAGAACCACTGGAAGAGTAACATTGTAAATTATAAATGTGTGTCATACATTCACATATATCTGTGCATAAATGGCTTTGGATAATGTCTGTGAGCCCTTCTCTGACATCCTCCCTCCCCCACACCAAGGCCAGATGTGTTTTGGAATTCAGAAGTTTTAAAATTTGAGAAAGAGAATACAGTGCACATATGGTATATCAAGTAATACCTCCAGAGCGATCTGTGGCAACACTCAATAATCAAACACATTAATTAACTTTTTTTTATTGAAGTATAACATACATACAGAAAACCACATCGTAAGTATAGCTTGGTGAATTTTTATAAACTGAATATGTTAAAATTTCTGTCATAAAACATGTGAGCATTTACATGAAGTGGGATAAACAAAGATTATAAATATGCTCACATCAGTAGGCAGGTGGTGCTGCAAGGCAGTGTAGGAAAGCCTAAAAAAAGCTTCAGGGCTACAAAAGGATGAGTACTGCACTCCACAGATGGCACTTCAGGCTGGTGTTTCGTTATGTATTCCACCCCACCCCCCCAATCCTGCAATTTTGTTCTTTCTCCAGGAGTGCACGTCCAAATGCCAGCCCAGCCGCCACAGGAGATCCCTCTGGGAGACTGAAAGGACAGGCTCTGGGGCCCAGGTTGAGGCCCACCAGCCCTGAGCCTTGGGCCAGGGGAATGGCAGCCCCCCTGGAGCCCCAGGACCAGGCTCCTGGGGAGAGAGAAGGGTTTCTGATCGTGAAGGTGGAGGATTCCTCCTGGGAGCAGGAATCTGTCCAGCAAGATGACAGCAGGGATTCCGAGGCCTGCCGCCAGCGCTTTCGGCACTTCTGCTATGGGGATGTGCGTGGGCCGCATGAGGCCTTCAGCCAGCTCTGGGAGCTCTGCTGGCGCTGGCTGCGGCCCGAGCTGCACACCAAGGAGCAGATCCTGGAGCTCCTGGTGCTAGAGCAGTTCCTGACGGTGCTGCCAGGGGATATACAGGGCTGGGTGCGAGAGCGGCGCCCAAGGAGTGGCGAGGAAGCTGTTGGCTTGGTGGAGGACCTACAGAAGCAGCCAGCGAAATCCTGGCCGCAGGTGAGGGGCCCCCTGCACCCATGGGCACCTGGATGGTACCTGTGCTGAAGAGAGGTGGCCAGCTCCTTAGAGATGGGTTTCCGGGGGGCTCACGGGGTGGAGGAGACACAGAGCCCGAAGGAGTGTGTATACAGGTTGCCTTTTGGAAAGATGCTGAACAAAGTGTTTCTTTTTGGTGGTTTTGGAGGGCAGCAGTAGGACCAAAGTGGGAATGGTCCAGAAAGGAGGTTTTAGTTCACGTGGGTTCTACAGATGTTTATTCATATTCTGCTCTAGGCCAGGCCCTGGGGACACAGCGATATGGACAGGTAGAGCACCAGAGGGGGGTAAGAAGGTGGAACTGTCCATGGGCACCTGCTGTCTTGTGGGGTGTTGGTTCCTTGACACTGGAAGCATCTGGGGTGGTGCTAATGAGTGTCCAGTGTGTGGGGTTCTGCTCTTGCTGAGTGGCCGTGACTTTGGCCTTTGGCGGCTGGTTTTTGCGTCGTGATTGATCGGGGAGTGTCCTTGGGCACACAGCACCGCCGGGTGTCACCTTCTCTGGGCTTTCCTGGGCTCCATGCTGATCTGCTCCCCACACCCCAGCATCCTGAGGGATGTGTCCTGTGTCTCCTTCCCAGGGATTAAACTCTGTCTCCCCCGGTCTGGTCTCGGTGCTGATGAGCATGTTGTGGTTCCTGCACAGGATGTGCCCTCAGAGAAGGTGGAACCTGAGGCCGCAGTTCAGCCATCTGCGGCAGGGACACGGAGCCGGCCACCCATACCCCAGGAACAGCACGACCTTGGTGGTGAGTAAGCCTTTGTCCCTGTAGGCAGCAGAGTGGCTGGGCAGGCGCCTGGCACCTTCACTGGCGTTGCCCTAAGGGTAGCAGGCAGGGTCTTTCCAGCCCGTGAAGCCTGAGAGTGTGTGCCCGTGTGCTCGTGCTGAGACACCGTGTGGTCTGAGTCTCAGGCCTGGGCTGGCCTTTTTGAGGCTCCTTTATTTGCCTTCAGCCCAGCTGCCTACTCTTCTTAAAGAGGGTCATGCCAGAGAGACGACGGATACCTGCTTTGCCCCTGGGGTCCACGTGAGTTGCCAGTCCCTTTGTCCTCTCTCAGCCTGGCCTTCCTGTTGAGACCTTTTCATCCAACCCATCCTGTCCCTGCCCATGGCTGCTGGGAGGCCTGAGCAAGGTGACCCTGAGCCCAGTCTTCTCGTCCCCTCTAGGGACCTGTGGCATTGGGAGACATCCCATTCTATTTCTCCCGGGAAGAATGGGGCACCCTGGACCCTGCTCAGAGGGATCTTTTCTGGGACATAAAGCGGGAGAACTCCCGGAACACTGCCCTGGGTAAGCGCTCGGGGCCCTGGGGGTCTAGACGGGCCACCCCACCAAATCTTGCTGGAATCCTAGTCTTCCTTCCCAGCCCATCCTTAGCAGGTCCGTGAGGGGCTCTCCCCTGCCCGGGGCATCCAGATGGGTGTTGTGCCCTCGAGTTTGGAGAGCTAGAGCCTGTGTGGCGAGGGGAACCACGGGAGACACCTGGTTCCTCAGTTTCCCACACTGAGAGTTGGGACAATTTACAAAATCACCTGAACCTCTTCTGTTTTGGAGTTTGAATAGCCAGGGTACAGAGCTCTGAGTGGGACGCTGCATCCGAGTGTGTGGGGGGCAGGGGTTGGGTGACAGCTGGCCGGCCTCGTGATTAGCAGGCGCGTCGCTGCCGGGTCAGCCCGGGGGAGTTCTGCAGGCTTACTCAGAACCGCTTCTCTGCAGTTTGTCATCATCCCCGTTGTGTAGATGAGGAAACTGAGGCGTGGGCTGTCTGGACCCGAAAGCCGGGGCGCTTTCCCCTGCGCCACGTTTCTTCCTTCCCTCAGCTCTGGCCCCGGAACCGAGCGGGATTGAAGGAGGCGCCTCCTCTCCCTCACAGGTTTGGGGCTCAAAAGCCACAGTGAGGGGTCCCAGCTGGAGGAGGTGGTGACCGCGCCGCCGGGCCAGGCAGGCGGTGTGACTGTGTCCTGGAGCCGCGAGGAGGCCGAGGCCTGGGAGAGCGAGAACCGGCCCAGGGCGACCCTGGGCCGAGTGGTGGGCGCGCGCCGGGGGCGGCCACCCACGCGCCGACGCCAGTTCCGGGACCTGGCGGCCGAGAAGCCGCACAGCTGCGGGCAGTGCGGGAAGCGCTTCCGCTGGGGCTCGGACCTGGCGCGGCACCAGCGCACGCACACGGGCGAGAAGCCGCACAAGTGCCCAGAGTGCGACAAGAGCTTCCGCAGTTCCTCGGACCTGGTGCGCCACCAAGGCGTGCACACGGGCGAGAAGCCTTTCTCCTGCTCCCAGTGTGGCAAGAGTTTCAGCCGCAGCGCCTACCTGGCCGACCACCAGCGCATCCACACGGGCGAGAAGCCCTTCGGCTGCAGCGACTGTGGCAAGAGCTTCTCGCTGCGCTCCTACCTGCTGGACCACCGGCGCGTGCACACCGGCGAGCGGCCCTTCGGCTGCGGCGAATGCGACAAGAGCTTCAAGCAGCGCGCCCACCTCATCGCCCACCAGAGCCTGCACGCCAAGATGGCCCAGCCCGTGGGCTGAGCGGCCAAGCGGCGCCTGAGGCCTCCCAGGAGGGCGGGTATTCCCTGTGCCACCTGGCAGCATCACATTCTCCTCTGTGCACCTGGGGGAGGGACCCCAGGGCACCCACGCGCAGATTTGCCCAGTACTCAAAGGGAATGGAAGTCCCCCCGGCCCTGTGGTTCCCCTTCCTGCTCTGAGGTCTCTCTCCCCTGGCTTCCTGGAGCCCCAGCACAGTCTGCCTGGGGCAGCAGGGTAGCCTGAGGACTCAGGAGGGCCTAGAGTCCCTTCCCAGAAACCCCCTTGGGCCATGTTTGCTTGTGGCTCCTTGTTCCTTGCCTCTTAGGTGGGGCTGTGGCCCAGGCCTTCTGCCCTGCCAACCTGTGCCTTCCAGTGGGAGTGAAGGACTGGCTTTGATCACCCCAGGGGCTGCTGGGCTTTGAGAGGGACATTCAGCCCACACCTATGAGAGTCTGGGTCTAGGGCACAGCCACAGAGGCTTTCTGACCCCCCATCCCCCATTTCTGACCCCCACCCCCACCACTCTGCCCTGTCCTGGCCACATGAAGGCTGCCTGCCTTTGCCCCCGGCAGACATGCCCCAGTGTGAGCCCCTGGGGGCCACACCCCTGCCATTCTCGTGAGGGTGGTGTTGGTTCCAGTGACAGGAGGCCAACCCTCGAGAGCAAGGACAGGGCGCCTGGCTGCCACCCGCTCCTGCAGTGGCACGGCCTGCTCATGCTGAGCACTGGCGCTCCACCGGCACTTTGTCGCTGACCTCTTAGCACTGCATTCCGTGTTTCCCGTGTGCATCTTCTGCAGATGTGCATTAACAGGGACAGACCACCGGCCTTTCGAAGGCACTCGGCCCAGCGGGCCTCAAAAGGGCAGCAGAAGGGTTTGAATAAACGTGGAAACTTACCTCCAGGCTGTTCTGTGCTTTAGGTCGGTGGTGCAGGGGTGGGTGGGTGCTTCCTGGAATGTATACCCCTCGGCCTTGTAGTCCTGGGAACACGTGGTGCTGTGCAGTCACCAGGTAGAGCCACATCCCTGGCTTCTAGCTTGGCTGGGCCCCAAGGGGCAGCCGTGAGCCCCAGAACTCTTGTCCTCCTGTGTCCCCAGTGCCTGCCTGCTCTGGGGACACCCTCCCTGCCCTGGCAGGAGAATGGGGAGCCAGCAGGACTGGGGTCTTTGCCAGGCCACTCCTCTCCCCGCACTGGTGCAATGCGGAAGGGGTTTAGAGGTGCTGTCAGGTACGGGTGCTCCTCATTGGGGATCCAGAACTCAGAGCCGTCTTGCACTGTGTCCCTTCAGGGAGTGGGCTGAGAAGCCACAGGCCTGCCCTCACTCCTTGCCTGGGCCGCAGGCCGTGGCCTGCACAGAGTGTGGGGCGTGGTCAGAGCCAGCAGTCCCTGAAGTCCGAGCCTCCTTCCAGCCTTGCTGATCCTTCCTGCGGGGCCCCTGGAGGGGAGGTGGGGCAGGTGGAGACAAGATGTTCCTGTCCCTTGGTAGCGGGTCCCTGTGTGCCTGCCTCTCTACCCCCAGGCCCTTCCTTAGCCAGCTGGCCATTCAACACATACCATGTGGGGGTCACTGGGACTGTCCCCACCGAGGTCTTGCTGCGGACAGGGCTATTTCCAGTTGGCGATTTTTACCTCTAGGGGCTTGGTGCTGTTGTATGGGTGCATGTGGGGAGGTGGGAGCATTACAAGGACTTTTCTGGTTCTGTGGCCGGCTCTAAAGGGAGACACTGGGGTGTAACGAGATCAGATAGGAGCGTGGGCCAGGAGCTAAGAACAGGATTGGGCACAGGTTCCTGGCTCAGGTGGGGGCACGTCAGTGCCAGCCAGGAAGTCACTGGCTGGAGCCAGGAACGGAGACGGGGTTGGGGAGTGGGGCTCAGGACCCAGGCTTCCAGGGGAGAGGGGCAGAGTCCAGCTCAGCTGATAAACAGCTGATAGAGTCGGCGCAGTGAGAGGGCGAGTGTTGGGACTCAGGGCGCTGGGAGCTGGGGCTAGGAGGTGAGCTAGGTGCTTGGTGCTTGGTGTTCAGAGGAAGCCCACCTGGCCCCATGGCCTTCCTGGTGGCTGGGACCCTGCGGGTGGCCGCACAGATGGCAGATGCTCAAGACAGCCTGGGGAGAAAGGTAGTAGGAGGCCCCACCTGGCCCAGTCTGCTCCTGACACCCAGCTGAGCCCCAGCCCAGCCCAGCCCTGGCCTTGCCTCCCCAGGGGAAGTACAGCGTACAGGGTCCAAGGGTGGCCCTGACACTCAGCAGCCCTGGGGTGTCTGCTGCTGCAGTTGCTGCCCTGGAGGGCGTGTTCCAGGCCCTGGGCTTTGACAGCTGCAAGAGGAGGGAGGCTTCAGTCCAGGTGAGCCCTCCCCTCCCCCTCCCTCCCCTCCAAGCCCAGCTCCCAGCCCCACGCAGAGCCTCCCCGACTCAGGCCAGGCCTCTGCTGTTGCCCCTAGGGCTTCCTTGAGGAGCTGGTTTGGTTCCGGGAGTGGCTGGATGCCCATGGGGGCCCTGTGGGCTGTGCCCTAGTGGCCTTGGTGGCCCCCAGCAAGCAACTGAGGCAGCCACAGCAGCTGGTCCGGGAGCTGAGCTGCTGTGAGGCCCTGCAGGGCTGCCCCAAAGTCTTCCTGCTGCTCTCCAGTGGCCCTGAGGGTGAGTGGGCAGGGCAGGGACCCCGGTTCTGGGACAGCAGAGCAGGGTGAGGGCTGGGCAGGACAGCGGGGTTCCTTGAGGCCGATGCGCTGCTTCTCCACCCAGCCTCCCCGGAGCCTGGAGCCTTCTTGGCTGGCTTGAGAGAGCTCTACGGCCGCTTTCCTCACTGGTCTCTGGTGCAGCTGCTGACGGAGGTGGGGGCTCCAGAAGGGGAGTCCCAGGGAGGGGGGCTGGCCCTGTTGCCCCCGGGCTCCACTGTGCTCTTCTGCCTGAGCCGGTTACAGTTAGAGTCATTCACACGCCCCCTCCCATTCCTTCTACAAACCTTTATTGTCTGCACCGGTGGCATCAGCCCTGGGGACCTCGGCCCCACCCCCATCTCAGAACCCCCTGTCAACCCACTCAGACACCCCAGACACCCCAGGTTGCCTCCCAACTCCATGCCTTTGCCCAGGCGGTTCCCTCCCTATTGTCCTGCCAGCCTTACACAGTCCCTTCCAGGCTGTCAGCGATGCCTTTCCTTGCGCTTGTACCTCGGGCCACCCCTTTTCACACTCATACAGGCAGTGATCATCTGCCCCGTTAGACTGCGGGACACTGGAGGCTGGGACTGGGCATGGTTCAAGTCTGGTACGGAGGGCTGAAGGTCTCACCGGGCAGCTGGGTGGCCCTGGAGGTGAGGCGCGTGGGCTCCAGCTTGGCTCCACAGCTCTCCCAGGCCTAGTGGCCTCTGCAGACAGTGCCCATCCCGTGAGCCTTCCCTGACCGGCCCTGCCCTGCTCTAAGGGGCGTCCCCACCTCTGTGTGCACTGATCTCAGGCGGGGGTTAATGGTATGGCCACTGTCCACTTGCGGCCATCCATGCCCAGGGAAGTCCGTGAGCTTGAGCCTAAACTGGAACCCACATGTTGCCTGGGGCCATGCTGCCCTGCCCTCTTTGCTCCTCCTCCCCCTGTCCTGGCAGGGGACCCTGAAGAGACCGTAGTAGCCATGAGCCTTGCTGAGTCTTTCCTGATGCCAGGAAAGACCGCCTGGGTTGCACCCCTCTCTGCTCCCCCAGGGAGCAGCCCTCTGAGGTGCCCTTGGGCCCCACCCTCCCAGCTCTTCTGCAGGGTGGCTGAAGAGTCCACAGGGGGCACCTCCTGCCCCGTCCTCCGGAGCTCCTTGCGGGGGACACTCTGCCTGGGAGGTGTGGAGCCCTGGATGCCTGAGGTGAGGGGTGGGGTGGGTACCAATCATGTGGACACGGTTTCCAGTGGGACAGAGGCTAAGGGAGACCCAGGCGGGGAGGCGAGGGGCGAGAGTCCCCTCAGACCACTTCGAATATGCCTTAACCCTTTCTGTAGCCAGCCCCCGGCCCCAGCACTCACTATGACCTGTCCGGGGCCAGGGCCGCCCTCCTCCTGGCTGTGATCCGAGGCCGGCCTGGGGCCCAGCACGACGTGGAGGCACTGAGGGGGCTGTGCCAAGCCCTGGGCTTTGAGACCACCCTGAGGATGGACCCTACAGCCCAGGTGAAGAGAAGCCCAGAACTTCCACTGGTGCCCTGAAGGAAGGGCTCCGGGGACTCTCCTGGCCTCTTTCCATCACCAGCAGGAAGTGCACCTGCAAGTCTAGCCCCTAACCCCCCTGCTGCATGGATTGGGCAGTCACTTCCCTGCCTCTGGAAGCCTGGTGTCTGAGGCCTCCCACGCTGGCTGCTTCTCTGCCCCCAGCTCAGACCTTTGCCTTCGAGGCCTTGATTCCCTTCCTGGACACACCCCAGCCCGTCTTCCCTCCAGGAAGCCAGACCATGTCACCTCCAATGGGACCATGCCAGGCCTTGCGGCAGGGGTTAGAAAAGAACTTCCTCCCTGGGCCTGCCACTGGCAGGAGGTCGGAGGTCAGAAGACAGGGGCTGGGGAAACTTGATCGCCCTGCAGAGGACCGCCAGGGGCTGGGGAGGCAGTGGCCTGGGCCCAGGCCTCAACCTCATCCCCACCCCAGGCTTTCCAGGAGGAGCTGACCCACTTCCGGGAGCGGCTGGACACCCACAGTGGCCCTGTGAGCTGTGCCTTTGTGGCCCTGATGGCCCATGGGGGGCCTCGGGGACAGCTGATGGGGGCTGATGGGCAAGAGGTGCAGCCAGAGGTGCTGGAGCGGGAGCTGAGCCACTGCCGGGTGCTGCGGGGCTGCCCCAAGATCTTCCTGCTGCAGGCCTGCCGTGGGGGTGAGCGGCACCCCAGCCCGCTCCTCCGGCCCAAGCTTTCCTCAGCCAGCCCGCAGCCTCCTAGGACTTGCTGTCTACCTCCTGCAGGAAGCCTGGGTGCCCACCCTTCCCCGCCCCTTCTCCCATCCTCTCAGAGGTCAAGTCCATTAACTTGAGCCCTTAACCCTCAGCACTTGTCATTCAGTGCTGTGAATGTTCCTGCCCTGGCAGGCCTGCCCTGGAGCTCTGGGGCCTGGGCTCTTGCCAGCCCCTACTGTTCATACGGGGTCTGGACACTTGGAGGCAACCCCTGGTACCCACCGAGTGAAGCTGTCTGCCTCTCTCCTTCCCCAGGGAACAGGGACGCTGGTGTGGGGCCCACAGCTCTCCCCTGGTACTGGCGCTGGCTGCGGGCACCGCCCTCCATCCCTTCCCATGCAGATGTCCTCCAGATCTACACTGATGCCCAGGGTGGGTTCTGCCTTCCTTCCAGAGCCTGGGTGTGGGCAGGGCTGGTTGTGGGAACTGTCCTAAGAGCATTTCTAGGGCTCTCAACTGAGGTCCTGCTGCCACCTCCGTCCTCTCTTTGCCAAGACGATAGGAAGTAAAGTCTTCCTACACTACAAGGGCCTTTGAGAAGTGGGAGCATCTTCCCCTATTTGAGCCTTGTGACAACCCTGGAGTCAGCAAGGTGCAATAGCTTTTCTGAGGTCACATGGCTGGTAAGTGGCGGGGCTGAGCTTTGAAAGTGCATCTGTCTTTTGTGCCCTGCACTCTTTCCACTGCCCTGTGCCTTAAGGCAGAGATGGGGAGCCCCTGGGGCTGGCAGAGTCCCAGGGTGCTGGTGAATGGACATGGTTCTTCTCGCAGGCAGCGCCTCCAGGGGCTCCCCTCCAGGCAGCTCTGACCAAGCAGATGTCCTAACAGTCTATGCAGCCACCGAGGGTAAGAAGATGGGTCATCAGGAAGCCCGTGATTACACAGGGCCCAGCTTCCTGGCCTAAAGTCTGGAGTGGCATGCAGGGCAGCTAGGGCTTAGTGTTGGGGTACAGAGGCACCAGCCCAGTTGCAGTTAAGCCACCTTCCTTCCATGGTTTGTTTAGTGTAACAGTAACGAGGCACCGTTCAGTGCTGGCTGTGCCAAGTGCTTCATGTGCACTGTTCCTCCTGGCTGTAAGTTTCATGAGGGCAGAGCCGATCTATTTGCCCCAAGGCCCTGCTCCATGCCCGGCACATAGTAGGTCCACAGTAAATATTGTTCAATAGTGAATCTAGCCTTCTCATTCTGCAAATATCTAGCAACAGTATGTTCCAGATGCAAGAAGTCGCTGCTTCCTGCCCTGCTCTCTTGCCTGCTCCCTGGGGTCCTGCCTGCTTGCTGCCCCCCATGTCCAGCACAGTAGGCCCCTGGGGATAGGGAGGCAGAGGGTCTTGGCCCGAGTCTGACGCTGTGGCCCTGGTCCTCTGACTTAGGCTATGTGGCTTATCGGGATGAGAAGGGCTCAGACTTTATCCAGACGCTGGTGGAGGTCCTCAGAGCCAAGCCCGGGGGAGACCTCCTGGAGCTGCTGACTGAGGTGTGTTGGGGGAAGGGGGGTGACAAGGGCAGAGGGGCAGGATTTGTCCTTTCCCCCAGCCCTGGTGCCCATTAGCTCCACCGGTGAAGGAGGGATCCCCGCCCTCAATAGTGCGAGATGACCAGACACACGACACTGGACAGATGCGATTGACAGCAGTCATTAGTCACATATACTAAAGTCTGGGGTGAGGGAAGGTACAGCGGGCCATGCAGGGCCACATGGTGGGGGTGGCACTCAGAGCCGAATCAACCAGCGGGGCCTGTGGAAAGCACTTGGATGCCCCTGTTCCTGCGGGAGGATGTGATGGGTTTGTTTGGATATTCCCGAGGGCTGGCAGGGAACCGAAGCTTGTTAGGTTGAGGAGCAGGTGGGGGAGCAGCTGGCCTGGCTGATAGGGGAACTCTTGGGTGGGAGTCTGTCCCGCTGGGTGGGGGACAGGTCTGGTGAGAGCGGGGGACTCGGGCTTAGGCCTTGGTGCCCTGAGAGGCTCAAAGATGTCAAGGCAGCCCTTGAAATTTTAGGTCTTACGATACACCCGTCCAGGGACTGTCCTCTGGGTGCCAGGCTGAGCCCCGCAGGGCCGGGAGCCCTGGGCACAGGCTGGGTGCGGTCTTCTCAGGTCAACAGGCGGGTGTGTGAGCAGGACGTGCTGGGCCCGGACTGCGACGAGCTCCGCAAGGCCTGCCTGGAGATCCGCAGCTCGCTCAGGCGCCGACTCTGCCTGCAGGCATGAGGGCCCCACAGCCACCCGGAGAGGGCTGAGAGGGCGGCCAAACCCCAGCGTCACCATCGACCCGGTCCACTCTGTCTGCTCATCTGTGAATGGGGCTTGGCAGCATGCGGCTGGCGCTAGCTGGCAGGCAATAAACATCTGTTGATGCTGTGCTCGTGAACAGGGCCTGCTCTCTGGGACGTGCGAAAAAGGGGAGATGGTGTATGCAAAGTACCTGGCACTTCCCAAGGGCGCAACTGTGCCCCTGGGAACCAGAGGACAGACCGTCAGGGAGCCCTGGCCCAGGCTGGGTCCGGAGCCCAGCGCCCGGGACTAAGGAGCCCAACACGAGCTGGGCTAGGTTGGAGGTCCTGGGAGCGTCCCCGGGGGAAAGGGGTCCCGGGAAGGGGCAGCCCAGAGGCCACGTTTCTCTCCCAGCGGCGTCCCTGTGCACGCGGGCCCGCGCCGCCCCACCCAGGGACGCGGCCTCTGCCTTCCAGCTCCTGCCTTCCAGGAGCTAAGAGCCAAGGGTGGGGCCGAACGCCTCTGCAACAGACCACTGCAGGCTCATCGGGGAAGGCATGGGGCAAGCACAGCGGCTGGGGGCGGGGCGTGGGCAGCCTCCGGCCGGACGCACGCGGGCGGCAAGTGCGGGAAGAGGTCCGAAAGGGCGGGGAGGGGCCTGCTGCGGGCGGGCTCGCCAGGGCTCGAACTCGCAGCCTCTGGCTAGCGGCGGCGGTTTCCTCCGAGCGGCCCACCGCAATGCCGGGCGCCGTGGACCAATTTGGAGTTCCTCCCGCACGTGTTCCCGAGGGACCGGGGTCCGTTTCATCCTAAACATGTGCATGAAGGCACACTGCGCAGGCGCCTAAGAAGGCTTTATGGGAAAAGCTGCGCACCCCATAGGCGCGGGGCCGCGTGGCCTAATGGATAAGGCGTCTGATTCCGGATCAGAAGATTGGGGGTTCGAGTCCCTTCGTGGTCGCTGCTGGGTTTGGCTTTTTTTTCCTGAACCCCGTTTGAAATTTTTCTTCTCGGCACTGCGCCCTGTATGGACCTAGGACACTTCGGCTGCTCCAGCCCCAAGCCCCGCACCACCCTGGGACTCCTCCGATGCCTCCCCTCTCCTGCAATGGCACAGCCAGGACCCAGGGCCAGTATCGCAGCGGGGGCGACCCCGAGGGCACTGCAGGGTCCTACGCTGGCCGGATACTGGCGGACCGCGGACCCCGAGGCCAGAGACCGCGAGTCCCGGGAGCCCATAGGGGATTGGCTACACGAACTAGGGTTCAGAAGGTGAAAACTGTGACAGACGCGGGGTTGGGGTTGTTTCCGGTGGGGAGTTGCCCCAAGGGGGGGGTCAAAGGACATATGCGTTTCAAAATCCACTAGATTATTGCGATGAAAAATTTTGTAAATAGTGGTAATGATTGCACAATATTGCGAATGTAATTAATGCCACTGAATTGTACTCTTGAAAATGGTTAAAATGGCAAATGTTGCATATATGTATGTATGCAAAATATGTATCCACAGCTTAAAATGTAAAACAAAACCCAATAGATTAGATTTCTTGCAATGAGAGCGTTCCTTTGAATGACCAGTTAAATGCATATTTAAAATTTTAAATAGAAAGATTATGTCCAGGATTTAGTTAACATTTTACCCGGAAAAAAATGTCTCTATCTGCCGAACCCGAGTTCTCTCCAAGGAGATGCGGTCAAGCGGCAAAATCCAGGCGCCAATGATCCGGGTGCCGAGCAGCGTCGCGCCGAGCGTGCTCGGGTCGGGTAACGGCTGCGGGAAGTCGCACCTGGGACACTTCGGTCGGCGGGCGCTGGTGACCTGGGGTCGTGCGGAGTGTTCTTTAACGTTTTTGTGATGTTTCAGTGGTTTACTAAGAGTTTATAAATACAAGGGAAAATCTACATTAAAATACAAATTTTAAATAAGGAAAATCACACATATGCTGCGGCAGGAAAGTAGACACCGAACGTGGCGACTCTAAGCCTCTGAGACTAAGAGCGAGCTAGCCTGGGATGTACAGAATAGATCTGGAGGGTCGTTACTAAGTAGGAGACCTCAGGCCACCGGGCAGTGCCTTGTTCTAGGGACAATGGGAAGGAGGACGAGGACCGACAGTCCAGACTAGCCCAAGCGCGCGGCTTTCCGGATGGGGAACTGGCCATCGCAGAGAGCGCACCCTGGGCCCCTTGTCCACAGGCTCGTTATCTAGTTAGTCATCCCTGCGCCCGGATTCTCTCCTTAAAGGTGAGCTACAGTACAGGGCTCGTGGGGGTTTGATCCACTGACCTCTCGCGCCCTAAGCGAAGCTCGTACCCCTAGGCCACCCAGCCGAGCTAAAAGCTGGCTTTCAATGCCTTTCAGCTCCTTCTGCACGTGCGCAGTCTCTCCGGGGCGGGAGGATGCTCAGTAGAGGGCGAGATCCAAGTGGGAGAGGGAGCGCGGACAAAAACTGACATTCCGGGGCCGGATACAGGCCAGGATGGGGCCATAGGATGTGCAGGAACCTCGGGGAGGTGACTAAGAGACTCGGCTAAGTCCGGCAAAGAGTGGGGCCTGTCAGCCCCGGTGGCCTAATGGATAAGGCATTGGCCTCCTAAGCCAGGGATTGTGGGTTCGAGTCCCACCCGGGGTACAGGAAGTAGCGTTTTAGACCCTTCACCAGGAAAAAGAACGTGGCACACCCTACCTCCTCCAGGTGCAGAACCAACCCAGTTAAGGAGCTCTGCTCTGCTCTCAACACAGCTGTAATTAGCAGTCAAGTATTATCTTCAGATAAGGTGCGTACCTTTCCAGCTATCAAAAAAGAGTGCTCGAAGTTTTTACACTATTTTAGGAACCACCCATTCTACTTGAAATAAAGAAATAATTGTTTACCTTTCTATGTGTGTTAATTGTATTGCGGGTACCTATATTTTTTAGAAAATCCTTACTTTTTATAAGCACACACTATTATTTAGAGATTAAATTACAGGACAACTGGTTGCTTTAAAATCAATGGGCCGCATGGATGTAAAGGTCCAAACTCATTCAGGAGTAGATGTGGTGTAACGGGGGACATGAGGGCACATTATACTATTTTCTCTGTCTTCATGCACATTTGAAATAGTCCATGGTATTCTTTTTTAAAAATCTAGGCAATACATGACTTCATCCTAGAGGTAAAAATTTCCCAAACTACAGGACATGGTATAAAGTAAAACCAGAAGCTTCCCATTCCATATGCCCCCCAGGGGACGACTGCTGGAGTTTTGTCATATATACAAAAAACATGGTTCTCTTTTGCCTTTAAAACCCATGAATGAGACTCTCCTGTTCTTCCAGCTGCGGTCTGGCTTCTCCCACTTCCTCAAACATCCTGGACCCCATCATCCCCACTGCTGTCAGGGACCTCATCTCGATGGCATTATCTTCCACATTCATACGCCGCTGCAGAGGATGGCCACCGCAGAGCTATGTAAGGATGCTGGCGCTGCCCTGGACAATTTTTTCTGGATGCCTTAGTAAAGAGTGTGTCCTCCGGGCCTTCTCAGTGGGGTGGTTGGGTGTGCACATCATACACGATAGACTCACGCCGACATTTCTAGCGCTTGAAATCTTTGGGTTGTTCCTTCCTCTACATGATGCTAGGGACGTTCTGGCATCTCACTCTTATTAAACTAGGCCACCAATGAGTTCAGTTTTCAGCGAACCAACCCAGAAATGTGGTAGGGCCATGTTCAACTGCACGAGAAAACATTAAACACAGGCTTTTTGGAAAGTGCACCCAGATTGATAAATTCAGCAGATACAAAAATCATATCCCATCCTCCTTATGCTAACATTATAACCCCACTCCCACACGTATCCCCCAGGTTTCTCCTAGCATAAAATATCAAAACTTACTCATTTTTTTTTTTTTTAGTATAAGCTGCCTCCTCTAAGGTCAGCCTTTGCCTTTGTACTTGCTTCCTGCAGCATGCTGAGGTCTGCCCCTAGCACCTCGAGTGCTAACAAGGGGTGGTGGGTGTAGGTTTTGGGGAGAGCTGGCATCCCCTTGCAAGACAACTGCTCCAGGTGAGATTATTACAGGATAGTCACACCAAGGAAGGCTAATTTCTGTAGATACCAGAGGACAGATTTTCTTTCTTTTTCTTTCTTTCTTTCTTTCTTTCTTTCTTTCTTTCTTTCTTTCTTTCTCTTTCTTTCTTTCTTCCTTCCTTCCTTCCTTCCTTCTTTCCTTTCTTCCTTCCTTCCTTCCTTTTCTTTCTTTCTTTCTTTCTCTCTCTCTCTCTCTTTCTTTCCTTCTTTCTCATCTCTCTCTATTTTCTTTCTTTCTTCTTTCCAGTCAAATTTAGCAGTGGGGGGTTGTATACCAACTTTATTGACAGCAATGTTAATAAGTTCTGATAACCTGCTACTATCAGAGCAGCCTACAGGCTGCTTTTGATGGCAAGAGAAGCTGAAAGTGACTCCGATTCAAGATTCTCAACTTTGTCTGAGTCCACCCTGATGTCCTCAAGCCTTTGTCTCACTTCTTCCTATTCAATGCTTTATCTTGCACATGAAAGATTTCCTGAGGCTGTGAATTCAATTTACACTGACATTCCACGACATGCATAATTAAATTATGTGTTTGATTTTTAGCCACAGTAGCCCTGTGGCTATAAGATTATTTTATGATTGCCACAAAATGTCTCTGGGTCTCTGGATGTGACTGAGGCTAAAAACTTAAAGGCTTGACCTTGTCATTTTCTTTCTGTAAGCAAACAAGTGTCTTCAGAAGAATCCTTTCCATGCCATGGGCTGACGAAAGCCCATGTAGTCATCTGCACTGCAACAGTCAAATGCAGCAGCCACTGGTCCCTGGGGCCAGTCGCTTCAGTCCACACTTCCTCATAACCACCCTGGTCATGCATTGCTGCATCTTGATGCCCTTGCATGCTCTAGCATCTCATGTTCTCTTGGCAAGGAGCTCAGCGCTGCATTCAAGCTCAAATCTGTAACCAAACCACGGTCCAACCAGCAGTCAGAAAAACCATCGGCTATTTTAATTGAACTTTTAATATGAAAATTATTAAATAAGTACAAAGAATTGTTAACAAGGCAGTTGAAAAGGCAGAAAGCAGCTAC